CACAATCTGCAGTTACACAATATATGGTTTTGTGAATGACGTTGCAGTCCTTGGTAGCAGATACAGTCAATCATGGTGAAGTGGGAAAGGCTCGACCAATCACAAATCATCATAGGTTGTCTGTTGGAGGGAGTCTTGGATTTGAATAAGACTAATTTGAAATAGAAATGGGATATAATATAAATAAAACCATGGGTTAGCTGACTCCAGTGTGCAACTTAAATACTTTGAAATATATATTTACATTATGATAAATTTCAATTGATTTGAATAAATTTGTTCTGTATAAATCGGCCATGAAATATATTTCAGATACTGTAAAATGACTAATTTTCACTGGGTTTAAATTTCGCTGATTTACCATTTCAGGCATATTCAGTGGGTTTTTAATTCACGGTTTTATCATTTAGATAATATGTTCTATGCTAAATTTTACATATTCACTGGGTTTTAATTTAGCGTATTTTCCAGTCAGCGAAATAAGCAAAATTAAAACCCAGTGAACAATTAACCCATTTACAGTATTCCAAGTAGTATAGTCACTATAATCAGATACAGAACATTAGTATGATTAGAACATTAGTCAGAGTGTCGGCAAGGGGTATTTTTGTAAGCTGTAACCAATTGATTTTATTCTAATAATGTAATTTAAATATATAAAAAATATATATAGAATCATTTCTGTTTGGTTGATCATTTACTATAATATCATTTGTGAAGGGATGTGAAATTGATGTGAAAGTTAGTCAAGCAGCTTTATACACATATGAACACAGGACTAATTGAAACCACTGATAATGATTATTTACCAAATTAGTCAAGCAACTCTGTGGCACATGTGTGAACTTGGTATTAGACTAAAATGTAAATAAAACCAAGGTTATTTTGTTTATCCAACTTTTATGTAACTACATGTTCACATGTTTATTTTTGCAAGAATGCTGTTACGTCAGGTCACTTGTTATGTACAAATTTTATAAATGTTTTTTTTTAAAGCTACGTTCTCACACATCTAAAAAACGCCGATGTTAACACTGTTTTGTTGTGCAAATATTAGATAATCTGCGGAATTGTCTGCTCACATTCTCACTTAGTAAAAACACCGGTGTTTTGCGTCCTCACTCCTCAATGAATCATATCACAGAAAGGTCAATAAACAAATGGAAAGGTCAGTCGACAAAATGGCCTTCCCTCTGGTAAATGCTTTGTTTCTGTTTTTCCGTGCGTTTTTACGCCTGAGAAGAAGAACGATTTATCAAGATTTCGAAGAGCAAGAAATCGCCAATTTGTTAGGTCAAACAAGACCCAGAAATGATCGATTCATGTTGACGCTAGTCGCGTGTATAAATAACGCAACAATAGACCCAGCATCTCTAGACGTTCTGTCCATCATTCTTTGAATATTTGATTCTCTCCATACAGACCTGTAACGTCTGACGCCATCTTGTGTAATGACAAGCATAAATAAGTCGGCGATAGTTTGCGTTTGGCCATCGTATTGTGTTCACACGGCACATTGTGTCAGGCAAAAGCTGGTGTGACAACAGCATTTAGGATCTGGTCCACCCCTTTTACGACGGTGTCAAAAACGCCGAGGCCACAACGGCGTATTCTGTTCACACACACATTTAACAACGTTCTCAAATAAAAGGCATTGTGACAACGGCTTATTTCGTCCAGTGAGAACACTACTTCAATATCAAATGATGGTTGAAAACCTCAATCAATCACAGCTCATTGGTAGTAAACTCGGCAAATGAATGAATGAAGGAAAATGACCCACAATAACAAATGGCTTCTGTAGCCATATTATTGGGATTTAAATGAAACACAAGGGTTTTCTATTGTTAATATTTTATAAATAATTATTTTCATGAAAAACATTTATGCCTTCTTGAAATTCACTGTAGTTATCATCGTTATGGAGTTGTCTATGTTGGTAAAAAATACTAATCATAAAATATTTTTAATTTCAGGGATGTTGTAATGCAGTTAGTATCTAAATATTGTGCCCTTGAGCTTGAGGAATATGGGAAATGTGTACAAAGTAATCCTAGTGACTGGCATCTCAAATGTAAAGAACACAAAACTAGTGTGTCAGAATGTTCATCATCTCAGTAAGTTATTTGTTTCTGTAATCTTAAAGCACCACAGTGTCTCATCGTGTCTCATCGTGTTTCATCTTGTCTCATCTTATCTCATCGTGTCTCATCTTGTTTCAGTGTCTCATCGTGTCTCATCTTGTCTCACAGTGTCTCATCGTGTCTCATCCTGTCTCATCCTGTCTCATCGTGTCTCATCGTGTCTCACAGTGTGTCTCATTTTGTCTCATCTTGTCTCATCTTGTCTCACAGTGTCATTCCGTCTCATCGCGTCTCATCGTGTCTCATAGTGTCTCACCATGTCTCTTCCTGTCTCATCGTGTCTCTTCCTGTTGGCTACAGTCATCTTGCCACATCGTGTTCACCACAGTCAATGTACTTCATCATATTCACTACATTCTTCCTACCACATTGCGTTCAAAATGTCCGACTTTAGACCATTATGTTTAATTGAATGCAGTTTTGGAGCCATATTTCTTCTAAGATCTGATTAAAACTTAAACTTATAAATCAAAGTTAACCATCTGAATGAAACAACCCTTTCGATCACACCCTCCCAAAATATAATACCTTAGTTTAATAGCAAAGTTCAATTATACATTTTCATTTGTTTGTAGCCCTGTTGTACAGAAGATAAAAAGTGACTGTGGTAAAGAATATGGAGTATATGACAAGTGTCTCAGAGCTAACACAAATCAAGTAGAGGAATGTATTCCTGCTTTGGAAACTTTTATGCAGTGTGCTGAAAATGCATCAGAACATCTCAAAAAGTCATGGAACAGTACGCAAGGTAACGTTTAATATTATGATGAAGCAGAGAGAGACAATTCTGTAACAAATTCTGTCTATCTGGTCCAAATATAACAAAGAAATTGACTGTCAAAGTATTAACCAAATTAGGATCGCTTCAACTTATCAATCCATTTGTTCTTTATTTCAAATGCTTCAGTTCTATGAAAAACAAAAGAAATTCACATCTCAATAATGAGGGCGCTGTATACATTACCACAAATTGACAGAGGAGAAAAAACTAAGAGATGCTTCCACTGTACTTTAATGCACACATGCCATCTTTTTGCCAAATTTGAAAAGAAATGCTTGAAACTAATTGAATCATTTCCTGCAATTTCAGTCAATTAAACTGCTAAATTGTTGTTGCAGTCTGAGTTAGAAATTTGTTCCGTAGATTCGCTTTCTAAGTTTCATTCAAGTGACCACTACCTTAACATTGAAAACAGATAAAAACAGATCTCAGTAAAATACAGAATATGTGTCACATGCATTAAAGATTTTATTGGAAATGAAATTAATTTTCAAGTAAAATTTCACAAATACAGTATACCAGAAATACAAATATTTTATTGTCTGGGGCTTGCTTCTTTGCTAAAATTTTCAATAATTTTTTCAATAGTAGCCATTATTTACTTGCACTAATAACTAAATGTATATATACCCAAATCATAAACCTATTTTCATGAAAATATAATCCTCTTTTTGCCAGTGGTTGAACCTGTTATATTTTGAAACACTGCCCTCTAGTGGCATTGGTTTACAAATTCATTGTTTTATTGCAGCGTTTGACTTGTGAAAAATAGGCATTAATGTTGGATCCCATTTTTTTTTATTTGATTCATATCGTTTATACATATTTGTTTTTTCTGTATTTTTTTTAGATTTAAAAAAAAAGCAGAACACGAGTGCTACTAAGGTGTAACAACTGAAGGACCCATTTGTATTGATTGTGTTGCAGGTGACTGGCTGCCCTCTATAGGTGGAATCCAATTATGTAATAAAAAGTTGGATTTTAGCAAATCAAAAACCTTATATATTTTATTTTTACGCATTTATTTTTTTCTGTTATTGAAATCCAAGCATTATTGCAAAATCTTAATAATTCAGATTTGTTGAATGATTCAAACTCCCTAACTAGGATTTAGCAATACCCCCCCCCCATAGAAACCCCCTAACTGTAGGATTTAGCAATACCCAACCCCGTAGAAACCCCCTAACTGTAGGATTTAGCAATACCAAACCCCGTAGAGACCCCCTAACTGCAGGATTTAGCAATACCCCTCGTGGAAACCCCCCAACTATCGGATTTAGCAATACCCCCCCCCCCCCCGAGAAACCCCCTAACTGTAGGATTTAGCAATACCTCACCCACACCCCACAACCCCCGGTAGTTTATTTTACGTTCACTGCAAGATCTCGTGTAATGTGCATGTGCGAAAGGTGCAGTCACAAAAATGAAATGATTTGATTTTAAACTTGAATTTCATTTTTTATAGTTCAATGCTGATATTTCAGAAGGGAACATGGCATCATCTGATGTGTATAGCACATTATTAAGATTTTAGATCACTACGTCAATATCACATTTGTTGTCTCATTTTTACGTTTGATTTCACTCATAATGTAGGATCTCGCAATGAATGAAAAATGGTAGAAGTGCTAAATTAATAACAAATCATGTGTGTATTTCCACATTCAGGTATGATACAGAGAACAATTCATACTAAGAATATTTATATCTGTAAACTGGAAAATAATGACAGCGACTATATTTCATGATTACCCATCAAAATTTCACAATTTTGAAATATCCTAAAATGTGTGCTTGTGAAATAAAGTGGTTCACAAACAAAGATTCTAGATTTGTAGCGATTGACACATTTAAGTAGTTCTCAGGATCATTTTTATAATATAATAATATTTCAATAATGATTATGACAACTATTTCAAGTAATAGAACAATAAAATTCCAAAACAAATGAAAATATATTGTCTGTTGTCATTTATACACTGAAAAACATGATTGACTAGTAGCCAATCAGCGACAGTGTTACATATGGTTATTTCTTGTATTAAAGTAAGACAAGCCATGGTGTTACTGGCCTGAAGGTTTCAGTGAAGTCGTTTAGCAGGTGTGGTTTAACTTCTAAGTGGTCAGTGTCGACAGATGGTCGAAATAAGAGAATGATTTGTTGATAGAAAAATATATTGATTTTGCCTGTACTTAAATTAATTTAAATTAAATTCAAATCAACTCACCAGTGTATAAGATGCTATGAGAAATCTGGGAGTTGTGACAACACCTCTCTAACATGTGGTGTTTCCTACACTAATATGTTTATTTTCTGTTCATATTTTGATGGGAGTCAGCTTTGCTAAATATTCTTATAAATGGTCTTGGCTAACAAACTTTTGGGACAGGAATTTCCTGAAATTGTTTAATTATTGTAGATTGGCTTTTTTTTAATTGTCAACCTCAATTGTATGGTATTGTTCGCCTGCAGATAGTTATTCCCGTAAGACATTCCTCTGCCGGAACATTCATCTTGAAAATTCTTGTTGGGTTAATGCTATTAAAAATTCAAAAAGCCATTATTCCATGCTTTTGTCATTCACTTGTTCACTGCTCACTCAGTGAAATATCATAAATTTGTGGTGCTAGTAAGGCAAGTGAATCCTTAACAGCGCCCTCTATGATATATATACAGAAATTGTATATTGAGTTTGTGTTTTACTCACCACTCACTCTTTTTATTGTGATGTAAGACATTGTATGATTTCTCTCCGTGCTAGTCGGTATTTATCTTGAAACATTTGCTAAATGATTTGTGAGAAACAAACCACACTTATATTTTTGTAAAAGCACTAAATTGGCTTGTACATGTTGGATTACAAGACGCATCCACAAGATTATTGTGTGTAACTATGGCGATAAGCAGTCTTTCACCCAAACTTTGAAATCTACCCTCTCGGATGAAAGTGAGTGACTTGTATATAGCGTAGTGTTCTGTTCAAATAGGTCATGGTACAGTTTGAGTCTGTAATCTAGATCATAGATATCAAAAATATGACATGGGGCAAATAAAAAATCACACCATATTTTTTAACTCTGCTGTCATGGAAGATGACAGGCACAGCTGTTGATAGAGGTGTTTGTCTGTCGTCGTTCAGTGTCAACTTTTCCTTTGAATAAATTTTTCTTGAATGTGCTGTTGCTTTTCTACTTTGGACAAATGTTCCATGGGTGGTTAATGAGATTTCATGATATCTTATAATTCTCTATTTTCAATAAATATTTTTATAATTTTTGGTTTAAACTGTCGACTTCTTCTTGAAAACCTCTACTCTGATTGCTTGGATATTTTGTATATATGTATTTTAGGTGGACCTCAAAGAGATTTGAACATTTCAAGATGATGTTTTAAATTCTTTAACTTAGCAAACAAATATTCTATTTTTGGATTTTAAGACCACTACTCCAATTGAATTAATACTTGGTATTCAGTTTCCTTGGGTGGACCTCTATTAAATTTCAATATTTAATGACGATATCTTCAATTCTGTTGACTTCTTGAAAACTGCTACTTTGATAGTTTGTATATATATACTTAAGGTAGACCTCTATTAGATTTAAAAATTTAATGAAAATATTTTGAATTCACAATTTTCAGCGAATATTTTTGCCATTTTTGTTCATGTAACTAAGCATGTTCCTATTATTTCAAGACTGCTGAAACTGCAGAGCTATTTCAACCGTTAGTCATACTTCTTCATAAATGGATAAAATATTTGATTGATGATTACATTTTCTTCAAGAAGTAGCCATTTTGACATGTCCAGATTAAGAGCAACACTGATGAAAAAAAAATATCTGTTTAATAAAACTATCCAGATATATTGGTGATAAATCACAACTATTTAATAAATTCATGAATATTCATTCTTTAAATCACAGTTTGAGATGAACGTGCCACTTCACACATAAAATTTCAGATATTGGTGTCATGGTAACAACATCCTTAAAGAGATATTGTAGGTGCCAGTGAATCATCATACACCTTAATTTTATCAGAATGATGGGATTTAGTTTAACGTCATGACGATTTATTGGTGTCATGACCTCGAATTGTTTTAATCGGGAATTCCGAATACGAAAATCAACTTTGTAGTTGATACATTGTAGCATCCAGATCACTGATATAATTGCATAACAGTGTTGATTTACGTTTATACTGGCAGGTTTATCACTTTTCTGCCACGGGATTAGCAATCCCCGATCTGCTCATCCTCTTCATTTGTGAACCAGGGTAATAATTTTGAAGATCTGACAGCCTTCCAAGATTAGTCGGTGTACATAGCTGACAATTTACACCAATTGAGGATTTTCTTTCATTTGAAAACTCGGTTGCAGATTCACTTGTGAATATGACGTTGTTGTTGAGTTTGAACGGTTATACGAGACAGCGAAGATAAAGCTGGAATTAGAAATGATGGCGATGCTTTGGCCCTGTGACAGAAATATTATTAAGTATAGATGTGTTTCATCAGAGATGGGATTCACTGGTAATGATGCGTGAGATCGGGGAGATAACACCACAACGAGAAAATATAGCGACATCGCGGTCGTGACATTAAAGTAATGTACAGGTTTGAATAGGAGGATGCAATGAAAGATGTGTCTGCTACACTAAAGTTTAATGTTCAATCAAAAGTCTATAAAAGCTAGAAGACAGTCACATATTGTGTCTGTACTAGTAGTTTATTCAGAGAAAATTAAATGGGGATATCAGTAGACAGTAGAAAATAATGTCTTGAAGTGCATGTGAATGACCTGGATACAAAGATGACATATATAATAAAGAGAAGTCTGTCCTAAAGCAATTTACAGTATGTTTCAATACAGCTGATCCAATACAATATTTTAGTTTTGAGGCAAATTATTTAATATGGTGGTTGATGGGTGTTTTGTATTTCAAACTCTGGACCCCTTTAGCGGAATAATCAGTTCCGCACCATTCATAAGTGAATTAAATTATTCATATTTGTATTAATGGATTTATTCTTTGACTAATCTGTATATGACATTATTCAAAATTTAGTTTTCAGTTACAATTTCAATCCACTTAAAAAAACATATCAGTCATATTATCAGTTGAAACTTCTTTTCACTCACATTCACAAATTTCCTACACTGTTTTTTTGGCTTCACAATGGGTGGCATATAAGTCAA